CGCTCCACGCAAATCCTTACTGTGTAGAATCTCCGGTTAGTGACTTTCAAAATCATGCACACGCACAGTCATCTACAGTTTTACTACGCGATAAAATTCGCCGCAGAATCCAATCGCAATCTGCTCTGCGCCCTTGTGCGGTATCTCACGCGCTCGGCCGCCAAACTTACCATCCGATGGATTGGATAGACGCGAGAGCAGCTTTCTTCTCGATCTGTGTACTCGCTGTTGTCGAGCCTCCCGAACTGCGTAGCGAAGTTATCGATCGCGTACTTGGCCGACACCGTCGTTGCCCGGCGGCCCGACTCCCCCCCGGACACATGATGACTGGTCCCTCTCCTTCCCTGACGACCGCAACGATGACCATGAAGCCAATCAGGTTATCCACCAGACTCATAATAATAGGATATTATATATAGTATATATTATATTATATATATAATATAGAAGAGAGAGAGAGAGAGGAGAGAAAGAGAAGATAACGCAAGAGATGATGAGAGAGGAGAGTGAGGACGCGGGTCGGCGCGGGCTGGGCGGGGGGCGGCGGTCCGGACGGCGCGCGCGACGGCGCGAGCGCCGTGGCCCGGGGGAACCGGCGAGGAGACCCGCGGCCGGTCGCTGGCCAAACCAGGCAGCGCGGGCGAGGCCGGGGAGAGAGAAGAGAGAGAGAGAGGACCACAGGAGCGAGAGAGGAGGGAAGAGGAGGAGAGAGAGAGACGAGAACGAAGAGGAGAGAGAGAGACTTGACGGGAGAGAGCAACAGAGACAGAGGAAAGGGCGAGAGAGAGAGGAAAAGAAAGCGACGAGACAGTGGAGAGAGCGACGAGAGAGAGAGATAGCAGAGAGAGCGAGAGAGATGATGAGGAGACAAGGAGAGAGAAGCGAAAGAGAGAGAAAGAGAGAGAGAGATGCGGGGGGCGAGGAGAGAAGAGAAGAGGGAGAGTGAGGCGAGCAGAGAGAACCGAGAGAAGCGAGAGGAGAGACAGTTACGCAGAGAGAGCACGCAGAGAGAGAGAGAGAGAGTGAGAGTAGACGGAGCTGCAGAGACGAGAGAGAGAGAGAGAGAAAGCCGTACTCGGTCTGCATCCGATGAGGCATGTTCCCGTGAAAGAGTAGAGAGGAGGAGGCGGGGTGGAGAAAGGGCGACCCGAGCAGAACGAGGAGGAGAGGGTCGGTGAGAAAGGGGTGAAGAGAGAGAGCAGTCGGTGAGAACACGCAGACTCGTGTTGAGTGAGAGACTGAAGTATCGCATTCCCGTGTTTGATGTTCGACCTCGAGACCTCAACAATTTGCGTTTGATGGTTGTTGATTTGAGAAGATGTTTCCCTGGTGACCTACACCACTGTATCGTACGTTTAATTATGACATTAGCCACTGCTTGTAGGCCTCGCAGTTGACATGTTACTCATGGGAACAGAAAGTCTTGCTTATTATTTGTTTGTATGGTTAATTTGTTGTGTCGATGCTATGAAGTTAGCCACGAATGTATTGACGCGAATTGCATTTTTAAAGACAATGCATGACGGTCATCAGACACAATATTATAATTGACAATATGTTTTATAATTAGTGACCCATCTGTATAAATGTATATACCTGTAATTACATTTGTTGGGGACTTAATTACCATCACTAAGCCACATAAAGATCATGAGATTATTAAGGATTCACTTCAAGCTTTGCACGGTGCTATTGCTCAATGAGAGTTTAATGTGACATAATAAATACGAATCAATTACAGCGTTTCATTTAATAGAATGGAGCATGATACTTCTATGACTCAAACCTAAAATTCTTGAGTGTATTTTAATATACTATTAATATTTTGGAATTTGATTCTCTTCGGGGTGCTGCCCACCTCCCCCCCATCCCTGTCACGCCGCCACTTTTAACACGAGAAGCACGCAGCAGACAGACGCGGAGACTCGGCTCGCTATCGTTCCCTGGCCATGCGTGTGAACGCCTCGCTCGCGACGGCGCAATGCATGTGCGGTCACAGCTCGCCCTAGGGTCGGCGCCGCTGTACTCCATGGATCGTGTCCGATCGCAGATCGCCGTAAGTATCGTACGGATCATTGATGGCACCGCACGATACCTGTGAGCAGTCGGAGTGGAATGAGGCAACGTATATATATATAATATGAATATATATATTATATCCGCATATATATATATGATTCAAGAGGTTATAAAGACATTTGTCTTTAATAACTCCATGATATATATCTATATACTGTATATATTATTATATATATTATATATATTATACTATTATATATATATATATATTATATATATATAATCAGGAGTCAATATCAACTGGAAATCAAAAAAATAATCAATATTAATTGGTAGACTCCTGATATAATATAATATGTTATATTATATCAGCGATGCGTGATAGTTGACGTGAGACGGGTATTACTGCGTCCTACGCTAATGTTCGAGAGCGACATGTCCTACATTGCCCTTACGTGTCCTACGAGTTTCCCTACGTTCGGAGGCGCCGTGCACACGTCAGCGCAACAATCGCGATCATTCGTTATCCGATAATTATTAATGATCGATGGAATCAATATGCCGGACTCAGGCCGTGACACATCTACATGGTGCCGCGTAGCGCGCGTTAGACTTTTCTGACTGCATTATAACAGTTTGATGTGTCAGAGTATATGAATCGGTATTAATGAGTTCAGAAGTGTATTAGGGACTATTCTGAATGGCATTATAAGCCGTCTTAGAGTGTCGAGTATCTGATGTAATATGTAATTTAGTCTCAGAGTGTTAGACTCTATTCTGACTGATTATAAGAGTCTTAGAGTGTTAGCAGTGAGTGTATTGTAGAGTGTTAGACTATTCTAGGAGCTGCATTATAACAGTCTTAGAGTGTTTTCGAGTATTTTTGACGTGCTTTTTGTAACCAGTCTTAGAGTGTTATTGTTTAGAGTATATCTGACTGCATGAGCGTCAACCACTCATGGCGAATTCGGTGGGCATTTGACACACGTACACGCACGTACACGCAATGCAGGGACGTGGACCGTTTCGATAATAAAACGTATCTAATAACTGCGATCTGTATTCTACAATCCGCAAATCCTAATGTTTTATTAGCTCGTTTTGCCTATTATTGTCAATAATTTCCGGCGTTCGAATGCTCCTGGCTACACAGTCTCACCGACACCGCGTGCCACTTGCGCACTGAGCTCACACAATAAAAAACGGGTTTCTTATTTTGCACCAAGTGCCTTATGTGCCACACTAAAGCAGGGGCGCGAGAATAGGAGAAAGAAGAGCGTTTGGAATCTGGGGATGCGCCCAGCGAATAACAACAGCAGTTGCAGTTTAGTTCACAGCAAACAACAGAGCAGTTAATGCAATTATCCCATTTCATCGCGCGCTAACGTCGGTCCAGAGCGGGCGACGTACGCCGGAACATGAGATTCGAATAAGTCGCGGTGCGATCGCGGCAAGACAGCGACTATTATCTTGCTATTTATGTACGGTGCTTAGCAGTCACGTATTCCCGCTCTCCGCTTACGGAAGATTAGCGACTGCGACTAAACTTACGCCAATTACTACCAGTTGATTAACGCTGGTTGCGCCAATTGTGTAACGAACGACGCGCAGAGAAATACGCGCTTCATTCGCGGCGCCCATTTTTTGGGCGGGCCTCTTAATTTGCCCTCCGTGCAATCGCGGGGCCCAACGTGTTCTGAATTCCTCACGGCGAAACAAACCGACACTTTACCTGGTCTGGGCGCTTTTCAGGGATTATTAATGTTATTACGCTCCTAATGGAGCATCACCCTGATGTTCGACCTCGAGACCTCAACAATTTGCGTTTGATGTTGATGCAGAAGCAATGTTTCCCTGGTGACCAAACCACTGTATGTACGTTTAATTATGACATTAGCAACTGCTTGTAGCTCGCAGTGACATTTACTCATGGACAGAAAGTCTTGCTATTATTTGTTTGTATGGTTTAATCGTGTGTCATGTATGAAGTTAGCAGAATGTATTACGATTGCAATTTTTAAAGACAATGCATGACGTCATCAGACAACAATATTATAATTGACAATATTTTTATAATTAGTGACCCATCTGTAATAAATGTAATATACCTGTAATTACATTTGTTGGGATTAATACATCACTACCCACCATAAAGATCATGAATTATTAAGGATACACTCAAGCTTTTGCACGGGTATTGCTCTAATGAAGAGTATTACCTGTGACAAATAAATCGAATCAATTACACGTTTCATTTATAGATGAGATGTACTTCTATGCTCAAAACCATAAAAGCTTGAGTGTAATTTTAATATACTATTATATTTGTTGGAATTGATTCTCCTTCGGGTGCTGCCCCCTCCCCCCCATCCCTGTATGGCACTTTAACACAAAGCCACGCATGCAGGACACGACGCGGAGACTCGGCTAGCTATCGTCACCTGGCCATGCGTTTGAACGCCTCCTCGGCGACGGCGAATATGTGCGGGTCGAGCTCGCCCTGGTCGCGCCCGCTGTACGCCATGATCGTGTCCGCATCGTAGATCGGTAGATACTCGTACGGATTGATGGCCACCAGCACGATACCTGTGAGCAGTGGGAGTGATGAGCAACGTATATATATATAATATAATATGATATATTATATCCGCAATATATATATATATCAAGAGTTAATAAAGACAAATTTGTCTTTAATAACTCATGATATATACATAGTATACCGTCTCGCCTTTTTAGATATTTCACTGTGGGGCTGTCTCTCTCTCTCTCTCTCTCTCTCTCTCTCTCTCTCTCTCTCTCTCTCTCTCTCTCTCTCTCCCAGGGTCACCTAGAATAAATAGCAGTAGGAAAAAGCAGAAGACCCGTTCTTATATGGTTCAGTTTCGCCGAATGATTCAATTTCACGCCACATTCAATTCACACCAACTTTCACGCCGATGTTTTTGACGAAGAGCGCGAGAGGGAGGGGGGGGGAGAGAGAGAGACTCTCGCAGATCCTGAAGCTGTTTCACATCATCTATAGAGTCGACTGTCGGACATTCACCCTGAGATGTATAAACGAAGTCATCTTGATGATCTGTAAGAAAAAAAACATACTAAATGCCACGACGACAACAATGCGTTCCTCTAAAGCACTGCTTTATCAATGCCACACTGTATACATGAGGTGCATCCATCAACATCAACATCAAACTTTTGTAGAGCTCAGTTTTATTCACAGTAGCCTTTTATTAATCATTTATACAACATGTTCATTTACCGAAACTGGTCGCAAAATTGTTAATTCAAAAGTAATACATAACATCACCTTTACATCCTCCCTATCTTCACATATAAAAAATTGACACTCGGTTTTGTTTGAAATTCACCAATATTTCTTAGCTGGGTCTATTACCTAACCCTAACCCAACCCTAACCCTAACCCAACCCTAACCCTAACCCAACCCTAACCCTAACCCAACCCTAACCCTAACCCAACCCTAACTCTAACCCAACCCTAACCCCATCCCCAACCCTATCCTAACCCTCACACTTACCCCTACCCTAACCCCAAACCTGACCCCAACCCTAACCCCATCCCTAACCCCAACCCTAACCCTAACACCAACCCCTAATCAATTTCCTCTGCCATATCTATTCCCTAATCCTAACCCTAATCTACTTTAACCCAACCCTAACCCTAACCCCAACCCTTCGCCAATTTTCTCTGCCGTATATATTCCCTAGCTCTAACCCAACCACAGCCCTAACGCCACCCTAACCCCAACCAGCACTCACTCAGCTTGAGCTGCTCGTACTCTGGCTCCTCACAGACGGAGCACAGCTGGTAGAAGATGTGGTAGTTGCGCTCCTCCGTTGCCTGGAAGACGACGCGAGACTTCTCCAGCAGGTAGGTGCGCATGTGCGCGCCGACGATGTGCCAGTTCTTGTTGAAGTCAATCTGTATGTACTTGCCGAATCGGCTCGAGTTGTCGTTCCGGATCGTCTTCGCATTGCCGATGGCCTGCAACGACGACAGGATTTTGTGGGTTCATTAATGGTCCTGTTTAGATAGTTATTAGTAGTGACAACAGTAACAACAACAGTAACAACAACAACAATAACAACAACAACAGTAACAACAACAACAATAACAACAACACTAGCAACAGCAACAACTAACAACAACAGCAGCAGCAGCACCAATGAGAACAATAACAAACAGTGATAATAACAACAACAACAACAACAACAACAACAACAACAACAACAATGACAATGACGACAATAACAACTAACACACAAACACATCAATAACATCTTGCTTAACACCAGATGCGTAGCTTAACACATTAACAACATCTTCCTTGAAAAATTAATGAACACTTTACGATGAAAAGAGCATTGTTTTGCCACGACTAAAAGCACTCTACATAGTAACTCGCTGAATAGAAGATAATTACGCTCCACAAATCTTACGCGTAGAATCTCCGCGAGGTGGGAAGCACTATTAACAAGCTTTCAACGCGAATATTACTACGCACTAATCGCTCAACAAAAGTACGGCTTAATATCGTTAGTGACTTCAAATCTGCACACGCGAACAGCTCATCTACAGTTTTCTACGCGATAAAATTCGCCGCCGAGATCAATCCGACAATCTGCTCTGCGCCCTGTGCGCGTATTCACCCGCTCGCCCGCCACTGTACCTCCATGATTGGATTAGACGCGAGCACTTTCTTCTCGATCTGTGTCTCCGTGTGCGAGCCTCCGACTGTAGCGAAGTATCGCATCGCGTACTTGGCCGACACCGTCTTGCCCGCGCCCGACTCCCCGGACACGATGATCGACTGGTCCCTCTCCTCCCTGACGACGAAGATGACCGTGAAGCCAATCAGGTTTCCACCAGACGCATAATGGATAGGATATATATATATATATATATATATATTATATATATATATAATAGAAGAGAGAGACGAGAGCAGAGAGAGAGAGAGAGAGAGAGAGACGGACTAGGTGCAGAGAGAGAGAGAGAGAGAGAGAGAGAGAGAGAGACAAAAAGAGAGAGAGAGCCAGAGAGCAGAGACGAGAAGAGGAGAGAAGAGAGAGCAACGGAGAGAGAGAGAGAGAGAGAGCAACGAGAAGAGAGAGAGAGGAGAGAGACGAGAGAGAGAGAAAAGAGAGATGAGTGGAGAGTCATGAAAGAGAGCGATGAGAAGAGAAGAGCAAGAGAACCAGAGAAACGCGAGCGAGAAGAGAGAAGAGCGAGAGGCATGAGAAAGCCGGAGAAGAAGAGGAGAGAGAGCGAGAGCGAGAGAGAGAGGCAAGAGAGCGAGAGGGCGAGAAGAGAGAAGAGAGAGAGAGGAGAAGCGAAAGAGACAGGTGAGAGAGAGAACACGACGCAAGCAAGAGAGAGAGAGCGCGAAAAAGCGTCGAGATATCTCATTCATAATCTAACCGGACAACTACCAAGGCCGCCCTTGATATCTAAATTGATAATGCGATCCACCCCCCCCCATTTATAGTCTCCTATTTATATCAACGACATTTAATGACAATTAAAGTGGAACAGCTCCTAATGGAGCAATCACCCTGAATTGTTCAAACCGTCGAGAACCTATCACAATTTTCGTTTGACCGCTGATAGCAGAAAGCATGTTTCCCCCAGTGACACACAGCCACCTGTGATGTTACGTTTAATTAGGAACATTAGCATCTGCTTTGGTTGCTCCGGGCAGTGACATTTACTCATGAACAGAAGTCTTGCCTGTATTTGGTTTGTAAAATGTTATTCGTGGTGTCATGTATGAAGTTTAACGGCAAAATATGTAATTAGCGATTGGAGCGAATTATCTAAAAGACAATGAATACATGAACGTCAAATCCAACGACAACAAATATTATAATTCGAAAATATTTTTTAATAAAAATCTAGTGACCACAATCTGTAATAAAATGTTAAATATCCTGTAATAACATTTTGTTTGGGATTAAATACATCAACAATACCCCCGCACCATAAGATCAATGAATTATTAAGGGACTACATCACGCTTTTGCACGGGTATCGTCGCTCTAAATGAAGAGTAATTAGCAATGGTGTGAACAAATTAAATCGAATCAATTACACCGTTAATCATTTATAGATAGGATGTACTATCCTATGCTCAAAACCCATAAAAGCTTTGAAGTTTTGTAATTATTAATATACTATTTATAATTTGTTGGAGATTGAGATTCCCATTCGGCGCATGCCGCCGCTCCCCCCTAGTCCCTCGTACGCGCACTTTAAAAACGACGAAGCCAAGCGGGCGCATCAAAGGACACGCATTGCGGAGACCTCGGGGCTAGCTATCTCCACACTGGCCAATGCGTTTGAAGCGGCTCCTTCCTCCGGCGACGGCGGGAATTATTGCGGGTCGAGCTCGCCTGGTCGCGCCCTGCTGTACGCCATATCGTGTCCACATACGTAGATCGGACGTAGATATCAATATGGCGATTACGGGCACACCAGCACGATACCTGTGAGCAGTGGGAGTTATGACAAGTATATATATATAACTATAATAATGAATATATTAATATCCGCAATATATATATATATCAAGAGTCTAATAAAGACAGAATTTGTCTTTAATAACTCATGATATATATATACTATAGTATATATATATATTATATGCGGATACGATATATATATATATATATACTAATATATATATATATAATATATATAATCAAGAGTCAAGTATCGAACTGGAAAGTCAAAAAAATGAATCAATTTAGATTGTAACTCCTGATGATAAATAGTAATATGTTATTGATTGATATCAGCGATGCGGTGATAGGTTGACGTGAGACGGTATATACGCGCTCCTGACGCTAAAATGTTCGGAGAGCGAACATGTCCTACATTGCCCCTTAGGTTGTCGCTGAGAACGAGTCCCTACGTTCGAGCGCGCGTGCCACTGCCACTCACCAATCGATCATCGGTTATCCGTAATTATAATGATCGATGGATCAATGATGCGACTCGCCACGTGACACCTCTACAAAGGTGCCGCCGTACGCGCGTTAGAGTATTCCTGAAGTAATTGAATAGTCCCCTTAGAAGTGTTTGATCTATGTCTGACTGCATTATAACAGTCTTAGAGTGTTAGAGTATTCTGACTGTATTGTAATAGTCTCAGTGTTAGACTATTCTGACTGCATTATAACAGTCTTAGAGTGTTCGAGTATTCTGACTGTTTTGTAACAGTCTTAGAATGTTAGACTATTCTGACTGCATTATAACAGTCTTAGAGTGTCAGAGTATTCTGAATGTATTGTAATAGTCTCAGAGTGTTAGACTATTCTGACTGCATTATAACAGTCTTAGAATTGTTCGAGTATTTTGACTGTTTTGTAATAGTCTTAGAGTGTTAGACTATTCTGACTGCATTATAACAGTCTTAGAATTGTTCGAGTATTCTGACTGCATTATAACAGTCTTAGAGTGTTAGAGTATTCTAACTGTATTGTAATAGTCTTAGAGTGTTAGAGTATTCTGACTGTATTGTAATAGTCTTAGAGTGTTAGACTATTCTGACTGCATTATAACAGTCTTAGAGTGTTAGAGTATTCTGACTGTATTGTAATAGTCTCAGAGTGTTAGACTATTCTGACTGCATTATAACAGTCTTAGAGTGTTAAAGTATTCTGACTGTATTGTAATAGTCTTAGAGTGTTAGAGTATTCTGACTGCATTATAACAGTCTTAGAGTGTTCGAGTATTTTGACTGTTTTGTAACAGTCTTAGAATGTTAGAGTATTCTGACTGAGCGTCAACCACTCATTGGCGACATTCGGTGAGCATTGCACGCACGTACACGCATGCAGGGACGTGGACCGTTTCGATAATAAAACTATCATAAATAACTGCGAATTGTATTTACAACCAAAGTCCTAATGTTTATCTACTCTTTTTGCCTATTATTGGTAATAATTTCCAGCGTTCGAATGCTCCTCGGCTACACAGTCTCACCGCACGCGTGCCACTGCGCACAGACTCACACAAAAAAACGAGTTTCTTATTTGCCCAAGTGCCTTATGTGCACACATAAAGCAGAGGCGCGAGAAATACGAGAAAGAAGAGGTTGGAATCGGGGATGCGCCCCCAGCGAATAACAAACAGCAGTGCAGTTAGTTCACAGCAAACAGCAGAGCAAGTTAATGCAATTATCCCATTCACGCGCGCTAACGTCGGCAGAGCGGCGAGTACGCGGAACATGCGATTCGAATCGCGTGCGAATCGCGGAAGAACAACGACTATTATTACGGTGGCCTTCTAGGTCACGTTTCCCCGCTCTCCGCTGACGGAAGATAGCCGCTGACTAAATTACGCAATTACTACCGTGATTAACGCTGGTTGCCGCTATTGTGTAACGAACCACGCGCAGAGAAACAATACGCGCCTTCTTCGCGCGCACATTTTTTGGGCGGGGCGTTACTTAATTTTGCCCTCCGTGCCAATCGGGCCCAACGTGTTTAATCCTCAGCGAAAACAAACCACACTTTACACGTTGGCGCTTTTCAGGTGACTCATATGTTCGCACACGGGAAACGTAAGCGAGTTAAAGCCAGGCAGAGTTTATCCGATAATCGTTAACAATCGCCGTGCAATAAAGGTTACGAATCAGCATAGATATAATTATACAAGCGCTAACAATACCTTAATAATAATAATAATAATAATAATAATAATAACCTTAATAATATAAGAGCTAATAATAGCCTTGATATATGCAAACTCAGTGTACAAACTGAGTTTGTATATATTCTTAGTTTCTATAGTGTCACGTACGAAACTATCTAACTGTTGTTAGTCTTCCTCGTTTATCTTGCATGGCTACATTACTGTATCATCCTCCACGTTTTGCTATTCTTCTTTTCGACGAATTTTCAACACTGAAGACGAACACATCATCCCCTTTGCCAAAGCTTAAATGTCAAGTGGCCTTAGCTCTACATTCCAGACTACAGTATTCCAGGCTTGGGAAAATTTCTTTGATGTTGCGATCTAGAAAATGAATTTCACTTTATGGTTTATGCTAAACGCCTACATCATTTTTACGAGTTCACGAATCTAAGCTAGCGTGCGAGCTAGCGTGGAAATTATGGTGAAAGTTCAGTGGCTAAAACCACGACCATGAACTACTCTATGAACATACTCAATAAGTATATGCTCTAGCTCTATCTGTGTACCCCCCCCCCCCCCTGTAACGGAAGCGAAGGGTCTACACCGGTAGAGCTAAATATGTTCATGCCACTATAGCTGCTAAAGAAACGCACGGCTAGAGGAGACGCTAACACAAACATCCGACTCCTAAAAAATACACCATATTGATGAATGAAGCCATTTGCGATCGGCTGACAATGTAAAACAAAATACGTGTGCGGCGCTAAAGCGCACGTAAGCGACGGACGTCGCCACATTTCCGATCGACGTTAGAATCGATGCCACGTGATCACGCGGCGTCGTGTGTGTGCGCATCACCATCACAATACACCGGCCTTCATACACGCCGACGTTCTACGCCACATTTCGGAAGGGAGATGCATTCACTCGACTCGCTATGGCCAGACCGTTATAGCGGGAAGATACAATAACCGAGTGGTGGGCGGAAACCATAGAAATAATATACTAGTTAAACTAAGGAAATACTGTATAGCGACTGTTAAACGATGCTGCCCGGCAGACAAACGGCAGGCAAACAAACTCCATACTGCTGCTGCTGCTACTGAGCAGCCGAAGCGATCGCACCACCGTGAAATGAAAGGCGCGCATTACGCGCCAATGCCAACACAGGAATCTT